TTGCCCACGCCTGTAGTCCCAGCACTTGGGTGGCAGAGGCAGGTGGATCTCTGTGAATTCAAGGCCAGCCTGGTCTACATAGTGAGTTCCAGGACAGCTCGGGCTACAGGGAGATCCTGTCTCAAAAAAAGCAAAAAAAAAAAGTTATTTAATGTGTATGTGGATTTTTTTTTTTCATGTGAGTGCAGTGCTGGAGTTATAGACTGCTGTGAGCTGTTGGATGTGGGTGCTGGGAATTGAACTCAGGACCTCTGAAAGAGCAGTACAGGCTGTTAACCACTGAGCCATCTCTCCAGCCCTTAAGTGCTTTTTTTTTGTCTTTTTGAGACGGTCTCCCTGCAGTCCCCGCTGTCCTGTGGAACTCACTGTAGACCAGGCTGGCCTTGAACTCACAGAGATCCACCTGCCTCTGCCTCCTAAGTGCTGAGATTAAAGTGTGCACCACCACACCCAGTTTAAACATTTTTTAATGTGTATAAACTTTAGGAAGTGTCAAAGGTAGTGTTCCTATGTGACCTTTTCAAAGGTCTTTGCTTTCAGTTACCTCTCCCCGTGGTTTTTTACCCTGCCCTTTCATCTCCCAGCCACCTAAACCCTCCTGCAGTATCATCGCTCTTTCCTCCTTCATACCACTTTGTGCACCACCACACCCAGTTTAAACATTTTTTAATGTGTATAAACTTTAGGAAGTGTCAAAGGTAGTGTTCCTATGTGACCTTTTCAAAGGTCTTTGCTTTCAGTTACCTCTCCCCGTGGTTTTTTACCCTGCCCTTTCATCTCCCAGCCACCTAAACCCTCCTGCAGTATCATCGCTCTTTCCTCCTTCATACCACTTGTATTCTGTTCCCCACTCTTTCTAGTCTCCTGACGTCTTCAGTTACTCCAACTTAAACACACATAGCTAAAGAATCAAAGATAGGATCCACATATGAGAAAGAACATACAGTGTCCTTTGTCTTTCTGTGTCTGGGTTACCTCACTCAGAATGATTATTTCTAGTTCCTCCATTTACCTGCAAATTTAGAGCTAAATAAAATTCCATTCTGTATTTGTACTACATTATCATTGTCCATTCCTCTAAGGTGGACATCTAGGTTGTTCCCAGTTCCTAGCTCTGAACAGTAATGCACCTGTACATTGACCACTACCCAAGCAGTAAGAAGCTTCTGACCAAAGCTGAGACCAGCACAAATCTCTGGGTACAAACATGAAGATTTAGAAATGAATTTGACACCGTGATCATTTAGAAAAACATTAATAGTTTCTCCCCTATGTCCTATAAATCCCCTAGTCATGAGTTTTGACCATGTTTATAGTAGCAGGCATAGATTCCTTCCGATAAAACAGGCCTCAAGCCCCATTAAAGAGAGCAGTGGGTACCCCCATAAACAGTCTTGCCTCCATTGTACCAGTGGGCACATCTTGCCTGCAGATAGGTATAGTAGCATGCAGAGTCCAGGGTCATTTCTCCCCAGCAGCCTACATAGCACCTTCTGGCACTGTAGAAGCTAGCTAGCTGGGAGGCAGCTTCCTGGTCAGTTCAAGACTGATTTCTCTATGTCCTGCACCCTAAGTGTGTGGTGTCTTCAGCAATATATAGTCTTATCGTCTAGGTATGATCGGCAGCTAAGAGCAATGGCAAGAACTTGTATCGTTTGAGGTGCCTCAGGGGCTTCACAAGCCAATAACTCATAAGGAGGTAACCTGTGCCTGGCACTGAGACTTTCATTTAATGACCCATGTCTTCAGGGAGCATCATTGTTCATTCATGTAGAATACCTCTGCTCACACTTTCTTGTCTTGTTTTAAATTGTGCTTGAAGTAACCTAGAAAGCAGAGGGTTCACGAGGCTTGGTCATACATCCTTAGATTTGGGTAAGCCATCTCCTGTTTTCATCTCTGTCCTGCCTCGCCCCCATTGCTTCTCATCTCTGTGCTCCTTTGTCTCATTCTCACTTCAACTTTTATCTCCTAGAATTCCCCCACCCCTGTTCTCTCATATCACATGTGTTCTACCATATACTTTATTACATTTTTCATTTGGGTTGCAAGACCACTGGTCCCCATGTGGCTTCTTCATATGCACTACATTTTTGTTGATCCCTGCCCCTCCCTTCCCCACTGCCATCATTCCACTGCCTGCTGCAACCACTGGCCCCAGTGCTCCTGCTCTCTTCTTTACCTATGATCTACTGTCCCTGCCTCTGTCAATAAATCCTCCCCCCCACTGGCCTGTTAGGAATTTCCTGAGTTCCACACGTTCTCCAGGGTAAACCCAAAATACAGGATTTGAAGCCGGCATCCACTTAACAAGAGAGAATATGCAATGCTTTTTTTTTTTTTTTTTCAATCCTAGGTGATTTTACCCAGTATAATTTTTTTCTGGCTCCATCCAATAACCTGCAAATTTCATTATTCTTTATAGCTGGATAATATTCCATGGTGTATATGTACCACATGTTTATTATCCATTTATCAGTTAATGGAAGATCTAGGTTGATTCCATTTCCTAGCTATTGTAAATAGAGTGGCAGTGAACATCAATGTATATCTCTGTGGTAAGATATAAATTATTTCCCCAGGAGTGATATAGCTATGTCATATGGTAATTCTATTGCTATTTATGGAGAAACCTCTGGCCCAATTTCCAGTGGGTCTGCACCAGTTTACACTTCATTCCCACAGTGTATAAGGGTTCCCATTCCCCTCATCCATGCCAACATTTGTTGTCATTTCTATTCCTGAGGATAGCTATTCTGACTGGGAGGAGATGGAAACCCGAAGTAGTTTTAATATGCATCTCCCTGGTGACTAAAGATGTTAAGCACTTCCTACATGTTTCTAGCCATCTGAATTTCATTTGAGAATTTTCTGTTCAGGTCCAAAAATTTTTTTAAATTTTTTTAAGATTTATTTTTATTTTATGTATGTGTATATGTGTTTTTGTGTGACTGTATGTATGTCTTTGTGCCTCAGAAGAAGGCATCTGATCTGGACCTGGAGTTACAGGAGGCTGTGAGAGACCCAGTGTCAGTGCTGGGAACTGAACGAAGTCCTGTGGAAGAGCATGAATTTTTCCTAATCATTGTGTCATCTGTGTTCATTTCCATAACCAAAATTTCTTAAACTGGGGTGTTTCCTTGATTTTTTTTTTTTAGTTCTTTATATATTCTAGACACTCTTCCTATGTAGATGTGTTGCTGACAACATTTTTCTCCCATTCTGTTGGCTGCATACTCATTTGATTGACAATTTCATGTACTATACAGAAGGTTTTGAATTTCATGAGGTCCCAATTGTCAGTTATTTGTTTTCCTGTGCTGCCGGAGTCTTATTCAGAAAGTCCTTACCTGTGCCTATAAGTTGAAGTGTACTCCCCACTTTTTTCTCCAACAATTTTAGAGTAGCATGTCTTTTATTGAGGTCCTTGAACTATTTTCAGTTGTTATGTTCAAAATAAGAAGTAAGGCTCTAGTGTCATTTTGTCTGCATGCTGAATGAAGTCCATGTCATAACACCATTTGCTGAAGATGAAGTCTTTTCTCCAATGTGTATTTTTGTTGTCTTTGTCAAAGATCAGGCAGCTGTTGTGTGGATTTATATTTTCATCCTGTACTCTATTTCATTGATATATGTGACTTTTTAGTACTAGTGCCATGCTGTTTTCATTGCTGTGCCTCTGTGGTATAGTGTAAAATCAGGTGTGTTAATATCCTACAGTATTCTTTTTGCTCAGGATTACTTTAGCTACCCTTGATCTTTTTGGCATCCACATAAATTTTGAGATTGCTTTTTCTAGGTCTATGAAGAAAGGCCTTGGTATTTTGGTTGGGATTACATTGAATTTGTAGATTGCTTTTGGTAGGATGTGCATTTTCACAACATTGATTCTTCCAATCTGTGAGCATGGATGAGTCTTTCCTTCATCTGGTGTTTTCCTCAGTTTCTTTCATCAATGTCTTTACGTTTTAATTGTGGAGGTCTTTCCTTTCTTGGATTAGGTTTATTCCCAGATTTTTAGGGCACGTGTGCATGCGTTTGTGTGTGTGTGTGTGTGTGTGTGTGTGTGTGTGTGTGTGTGTGTGTGTTACTGTGGAAGGCATTTCTTTTTTTTAATTTGTATTAATTATTTTTATTTTATGTGTATGAGTGTTATGTCTACATGCTTGTTAGTGCACCTGTGCCATGCAATGTCCGTGGAGGTCAGAAGTGGGCATCAGATCCCCTGGAACTGGAGTTATAGACAGATTTTAGCTGCCATGTCAGTCCTGGGAATTGAACTCAGGTCCTCTGCAAGAACAGCCAGTGCTCTTAACCGCTGAGCCATCTCTCCAGCCCAGAAGGCATTTCTTTTTCATTCTGTTTTTCATTGTTATACAGGAAAGCTACTGATCTTTGTTTGTTAATTTTGTTTCCTGTCACTTGTCTGAATGTGTTTTTCAGCTAAAAAGAGTATTTTGGTAGAGTCTTTAGGCTCTCTTATGTACAGGACAACATCATCTGCAAACAGAGATGCATGGCTTTTTCTTTTCCTACTTGTGTCTCTTTTTTCCCCTTCTATTGTCTTATTCCTCTAGCCAATACTTCAGCCACTATATTGAGTAGGAGTGGAGGCTATCCTTGCCTTGTTTCTGATCTTAGTGGGCACTCTGAGTTTTTCTCCCTTTAGTATGATTTCCCTATAGGTTTGTCTCATACAGCCTTTATTTTGTTCGGGTATGCTCTCTCCACCTCTAGCCTCTTCAGGACTGTTGGGATTTTGTGAGTGACTTTTTCTGCATTTAATGAGTTGACCTTATGCTTTCTGTCCTTGAATCTATTTGTATGGTGAATAACATTTATTGATTTACATATGCTGAACCATTCGTGCATCTCTGGAATGAAACTAATTTGGTGGTGAGGAATGAACTTTTTGATGTGAGCTTGAATTTGGTTTTCCAGTATCATCTCGAACTTTCACCTCTGTGTAGGCAA